GGGGATAATATGAGCAAAGGGGAAGAAGGAGATGAAGAGAGGGACAATGAGATGGGGGAGTTGGTATCCGTGTAGAGGGGAGAAGGAGATGGAAAGAGGGGTAATAAGGTGGGGAGGCTGGTATCCGTATAGGGGAGAGGGGTAGATTAATGAGATGAAGAGGGTGTTATCAGAATGAATGATGGTAGTTACTAAGTTCAGTATGTTATTATTATTTGGAGGCTAACCCCCCCCCCCTCAAACACCCTCCTTGAAAAAATTCCTGCTTACGCCATTGGTAAGGGGTGAGGGGTAGTACCAGTATAGGGGAAGAGAGGTAGAGGGTAAATAAATGAGAAAATGACTTTCATCGAGAATAAGAATACGCCAGGAAAAGTAATAATTCATTTAATTATCAATATTTTGCTCTTAAACAAAACGAGAGAGATTTTGCTTGTTGATTTTCGACAGGTAAGGAACACCATCATAGAATTGTTGCATATTGTATTAACCTTCAACTTTTATTTTTATACCGATAAAGACTTCTTCTGAATCTATAACCCATCGACCTAGAAAGGTAATGAAATATTATTCTTCGTTCTTTGTAATGAAGTTATTTTTCGCATGACGTCGATATACTTGAAGACAAACGTTTGGTTTTGTCCATGTCAAATTGCGAAAATAATTAGTTTATAAGTAGCCATGACAACAGGTGACAGGGGTGAGATATAATTTATTTTCTTAACATAAAGATAAACAATATTTATTTTCCCGAAATAGAATAAAGATTCGCCTCTTAACTTAATTAAACGAATACGAACAGATGTTTCATAGAGGTAGCAATGAAGAGACCCCGTTCTTTGCGAAGATATTCCACAATCAACTTAGAGAAAGAGAATGATATAGTGATGGAATCGAATGGTACATCCGGTAGAAAGAATTTAAAGAAGGGGGAAGGAGGGTAGTGAATTACAAAAGGAGTGAGGATGAGGGATTGATCGGGAGGGGTACAGAAAGCTAAAAAAAATATTAACAACAGTTACGAAATAAAGGAAAAACTAAACACACTATTCAACTTGATTCGTTGGCATGAGTATACGTGTTTACAAAGGAAAATTATTGATTTGTAAATTATTTAGTCTCCAAAATATTAGCATTGGGATGAAATGGCAAGTGGGGTTACAGAGATGCTGCAGAGATAGATGTAATATTGAAGTAGCAAACTAGAGAGGCTGAAGATGAGAGACATTGAATGAGATAGTGGGAGCTAGAGAGAGAGAGGGGGTAGATATAGAGAGAGAAGGAGAGAGAGAGTGACGAGGACTTCGCAGCCACTGGACCGTGTATTATTCATGGCGAGGAGAAGAAAAGCGAAATCTCAAGGCTCGATCGCCGAGTTATGAATAATTCAATTACAAAATTATCCATCTTCCCATTTGCCCGTAATGCAATTACGCTGTGAGCGCAAGGGGTGTGCGCAAGCCCATTGCAATATTGAGCGCCCGGCGTCACATCGCGGTATAATAGCGAGTAAATCGGTGAGCTAATGCTCCAACTCATAATGGTTTTCTCGCTAAATTTAATTCTTTAAATGAAGGACCTTTGTATCAGCGTTGAGAGACAAGAGATGTACGCACTAAACACGGATAATGGTTCCGTGTATGTTTGTGAGGATTGTGAAGTCATGTTTTTTTATTTTCCCACCTAATTCTATGAGGAGTTTTTACTAATGGGAAGTAGATGACCACGATTATTATGGTGGCCTAATTAGGCGCCCAGATTAGATGTATGCACTCAAGCAGAGGTGTATGCCTCGAGCTTTTATTTCACCAAGCTTAATTAGCTCGCAAAGTAAATTACTACATAAGATATAAATTATGGCAACAAAATAATCAGTTTCATAATGAATAGCCAACGCCTTTTATCTTTTCATACTATGTACAATGAAACAATCAGGCTAATTCAGTCGTCAGAGTACGATTTTGGTAACTTATATCGAAAATTAAAAAAATAGGGAATCGGTAGAAATTAATATTTCTGATAAAAATGTAGAACGGCATTAATAGGGCAATAGAGTATTTTAAAAAATTTAAAAAAAATAAAAAAAAATAGGGAATTAAGTCAAATCCTTTCATACATATTAAATATTTGAAATGGAAAATGATATGATTGATATAAAATGCGACAAATTCTAAAACACGGTCATAACAAATCGCCTAGATATTCGTAGGAATTATTCAGGATCGTAACAGTTTTACAAAATCCTTTTTTCGGTTATATTTGTTGAGAGAAAAAAGTGCACAGTACTGTTACTGGAAAGGAGTTCCCGGTTTTTTCATGTCAAAACAAATCAGCTGAAAAATCAGCACACAGTTTGTTTGTTTTTGACATGAAACATGGAGAGTTTATGCCTTCCGTCCATAACTTCATCGAGCACCCTGTTCTTTGAACAAACTAAAACTAAACAAAGTCACTGAATTATGTTTTTGCAGATTTTCTCCAAAAGTCACTTTTCCACGTACCAAATGACCGGAGCACATGCCCCTAAATTGACAATTTGGACATTTACGGATTTCTTCACGCTAAAAGAGAGATCCCTCTTAAATATAATTTCATTGTATCAAGTCGTCAAACTTATTGGCAAATGCGATTATCCGGCGAATGAGAGAAGGCTTTAGAATAATTGGTGCGGTAGTTGCTAGAAAGAAGAAGGGGAACATAATAAGCTTGACAGGTATGGTGAAATCGGATGAACTTCGCCCGGCGTGCCCGTACAGCTCTCCAAACACAACTATTCGATTAAAAGCCTCGCGAATTTGTACAGTTTTCGAGCCTCGCCCGCGGAAAGGAATTTTGCAACAATTTAGTATTTTTAACTGGCAGACGACAGTCATGACACACAGGCTCTGATGGATTTCTAAAAAGAAAAGAACTCAAAAGCGGAAGGAAGTATGGGAGAGTGAAAGACAGAGAGGGAGAGCGAGAGAGAGAGTGCGTGTGTTGGTGTGAGGGGGAGAGAGAGGGAGAGAGGAGGGAGGGGAGAGGGGAGAGGGAGAGAGAGTGGGAGAGGGAGAGGAAGAGAAAGGGTGTATGTGCGTGCGTGTATGTGTGGATGGGAGGGGAGAGGGAGAGTGTGGGAGAGGGAGGGGTGAGTGTGTGTGAGATAGAGAGGAAGGGAGTGGGAGAGGAGTGGGAGAGGGAGTGGGAAAGTGAGAGAGAGAGAGAAAGAGAGAAGGGGGAGGCTGAAGGGAGAAGGAGAGAGAGACAGATGGAGGGAGCAAAAAGTCTAAAGGATAATGGTCAATTATTAATCATACCATTTGTAGGTTTTTGCCGGCAAGATACATAGTTTTAAAAACGACCATTTCAAACTCGATAATAATTGATCATGATTTAAGCTAATGCAATCCACCAACCGAAGTCTTTGTTATATCTTGGCCATTTTTAATTGTTTAGTGGTTCTCTTGACCAAACGTTTTTTTGTCCGACACATAATTACAATTTGTTGGCATTTATCAAAAGGTTTTGCAGGGTTTGTGAGAGAGGAAAGAGAAAGGCGAAGCAGAGGAACAAACCGAACAAGAGAATAAAACAAGAGGATAATTCAAGGGCCACTCGCATCATAAATCAGAACCACGTTCTTAAGAAAAAAAGGCATCTCGTTGATTGTCGTAATAAGGACCGTCGCCCCTTCCCCCTGCTCCTCTTCTCTCCCTCTCTCTCTCTCTCTCTCTCTCTCTCTCTCTCTCTGTTTCCTTAACCAGTAAAGAGACATAGAAAGATAGCAACAGAGAGTCAGAGACAGACAGAAAGGAAGATTTGAGCGATGACAAGATGATGACGAAAGAGAAAGATGAATAAATATCACATCTCGTTTTTTCTAGTGATATAAAAAAAAAAGAGACAGTAATAAAGACAAAAATTAAAGATCTCTACTGTATCGAAGTTCAGGAAAATGAGAGAATGAGACAAATAGAATGGGGTTTTGAGGAACGCTATTACGTCCAAAAAATAGAGAGGGAGAGAGAGAAAGAGAGAGAGAGAGAGAGAGACGGGAAAGGCAAAAGGGGAAAATGAGAGAATAAGACGACTGCCGCCCCTTTTCCAAAATGAAAGGAAACGAGGTTTTGAGGCGACGAGATTCGGGCAGCCGGAGAGAGAAATCGCAGACACGATTGTAAGTGAATTTAAGAGGGGATAATTGAATGTGAATTATTTGGGAAATTTGGGGAAGAATTATCGGGGAGAAAATTGGGCGGATCATGCCTCAGTTGAACCAACAAAGCACGTGACATTGATGCAATGTGTTCACAATCAGCAGAGAGATAGAGACAGAGAGGGAAAGAGAGAGAGAGAGAGAGAGGGAGAGTGAAAAAGAGACAGTGAGACAGAGACAGAACGAAAGAGAGAGAGGTGATGTTGAAAAGGAATAATTGGTTCAAAAGACGGGGGCGGTGAGATAAATACAAAAGTGCAACAAATTCTGACAGCGAAAAAAAAAATGATTCAAGATGCGTTTTGGAATGAGTAATATTTAGGCAGGTGAGCAAGAATGATGCTATAATATGAAAAGAAAACTTAATTTGTTAGAAAGGTGATGATGTAAGAGTTAAATGTGAAGTGAGGTGCTAACAGGTAAGGAACGCTTTGGGTGTGGTTATTTTTTAGTAGCGCTCGAAAGTGCATCATGCTTAGAACTTAGCGTATTGGGCATTGGGCCTTTAAAGCTAGAGTACGCCCCATCCTGTTTGGAGACGCAAAAATGCACATTATCTTTGAAACTCATAAACGAGTGTTTTGTCTCATTGGTATTTAGCATGCCTACGGCTCACACCGGGAAGGTATACCACCCCCCCCCCCCTTGATACCTTTTTGGATATGCCATTTATGTGTATACTCTATTGGGTACCTCGTTTTCTTATTTCGAAATAGATATATTCGATTTGAATTGACTTTGATATTGACGGTTGGTACGCATTTGAAGTGAATTAAGTCGCCAATTTTTTTCGCTTTTCCCTCAGATTCGGAGCTTACGTACGGAGGTGATTTGGACGAGACTTTTGCGAGAAGGAAGCAGCGAAGAAACAGAACCACGTTTACTGTGCAACAGGTATGATCGAAATGCATATATTTTAAAGACTACAGCGCCCCCACTCCTTCACTATAGCTTCGGGATTACCACCGAAAGTTTTATTAATATATTCATTTATATGGTATCATAGGAGCGCCCCGCCAAATGTTAAAATACTGTTATACGTGGGGACCCTGCACAACGTAAACAGAACGGAACCAGTTCTGTTTAAACTAAGTCTATATTTCTCCATGTATGTTTTAAATAAACGTAGGCCTATACTGACTTTATTATGTATTCAGAACTTAACCAGTGCTGTTTAAACTAAGTTTATATTTATCCACGTATGATTTAATGTGTACTGAGTTTATTACGTATTCAGAATTGAAAAATGAAGAAATGAAGAAAAATTTGTTTTAGTTACAATCAATTATTTATCATTTATCTTTATCCTTTTGTAACCCTGATTCCTTGGCAGCTGGAGGAGTTAGAGTCAGCCTTTGCTAAGACTCACTATCCTGACGTGTTCACACGCGAGGACCTGGCACTACGGATCAATCTTACAGAAGCCCGTGTACAGGTAACTAACTTCATTAACATACAAATAATACACAGCAGTGAGGGCATTAGTAAGAATTACTTGCACAAGGTACCTTTGGAACAGTCTAACACGCCCGAGGCGATAGCTGAGGATGTTTAGACGGTTTTGAAGGTGCCGAGTGTAGGTAATTTTTACTAATGTCCGAACAAAATGATGTGTATTATTTGTTTTATAAGATTATGTTTTATTTGTTTTAGAAAATGATGTTTTACATGATTTTACTAATGACCGGTCATTAGCATTTGATAATGACCGGTCATTATCAAAACTATACGTGTTAGGCAAAATATGCCTTGTCACGTGTACGTTCTCAACCAATCATTTGATTAGGATCCACGTCATCATCTTATAAATACTAATACCACGTAGGGCTCTTTCAGATATCAAGCGGTAAACCGCGGCGAGTTTCTTCTATTCTACTTTTTTGTAAGTGTGTAAATGAATGGCAACTGTACGCAACAAAGGTCCTACACATATTTACTTCTCTATGTGTTATCATCACAGAAATGTGAAGCGTATCATACCTTACGTCATCAGAAAACAAATAAAAACCGCCGCCGGTTACGTCTCCATATATGAACGAGGTTTTATAGGACCACAACGAACAGGATGTCTGAAAAGGGCACAAAATGAAAGTACAAAAGAAAGCCCAAAAATAGAGATCATATTCAACAATAAAACAGGATAAAATACACTTTATGCTATTATAAGACCTAGACATTTTTTACAGAACGGCAACTACGGGGGAGGGCATATGCCCAAAATAAAATGAGGAAAAAGTGAATAGTGAGATGAAGAAATATATTTAATAGGGAAAGGAAAGTGACTTAAAATGACTCCTCTGAAATATTTGCCCCGTTGATTTTCTCCCTTGCGTTTCATTTCTTTTTAATACCTTATCCTCCCCCCGGCCTCTCGTCGGAAAATCGTTATCTGAGGACCCTTTCTTTGTTTTAATTTTTATTCAATTTTGGTACTTGGTTTGTTGGTTCTGTGTATTTGTTTTATGTTCATTTTTGTTTGTTTGTTTTGTATTGTTTGTTTCGTTATTTTGTTTGTTTGTTTGTTTGTTTCAGTTTGTTATGTTTTATTCTTTAGTTCTTTTACCCGAATGAGATGTTCTTTCATTCCAACCCATTTGCTATCCAGCAGCTACTTCAAATTTGATACCTATATTTTTTAAGATGTCAAAGAATACGATTTAGCTAAAATCTTATACAGCATAACATTATGTAATAAAAATATATCACATGGCGGAAGAGTTCGACGTCTTCAAGATGCAGATGCGACTAAAACAAAAAAGGGTCTCGCGAGTCAAAGTCAGTTCTACATTTAGAGCAGCAAATTGAAAACAAGATTTTCTTCCAAACGAAAGAATTCGAGAGGCAAAGTAAATAAGATAGCTTATTACCAAACCTCCTTCCCGACTAATCTCATAGAAGCTAAGATGTTAATGTAATTTGTCGCGCTCTCGTCATCAAATTAAAGAAAAGATAAGAGTATTAATGGTAATCTAGTAGCGAATGTACCCCCAGGGGAGCGTGTACACCATCAGATAGGTCTATGGGGTCCGTTTTACTCGTTGTCTGATCCTGCCTCTCCACCTTCCCTTCCATCTCCCATCTCACTGCTTCCACAATCCCCTCTCCGATAAATGAAGAGCTTAATTCCAAAAGGAGCTAAATCCACTTTTGATGAAAATTGAGTTATTGATATCAGAACATTGTTCATTTAATTACCTGTCTTTCAACAAAATCATTGACCTAAATTTTGGGAGCAATTATGAAGAAAAAAATGCATCTTCTAATATCACTTTTCCATAGACGCCTGTACAAAATCTGGCAAACAATTTCTATTTTCTCTGAAGTTACAAAAATGGATTCAGCTCCTTTGGGAATTAAACTCTTCAAATATTGCCACCTGAAAAAGGCTCTGAGGCACTTTCGGCTGTATAAGTTGATGTATATTTATGAAGAAAGTATCACCTTACAAAATTCAAATTTCGGCACATGTTTGGCTTAGGATATAATTGATATTCGGTCATGCTAATTAAAGTATAAGTCACTATCCTTCATATTTCTTAGAATTAAGTTTTCTTTATCTTAAATCCTAAGTGTCTGTCCTCCAGCTGTGATTAGTGTCAATCAATGCTAATTTTGTCAAAACGTGTTTATTGTTAGAATCCCATGGACTACGGAAATCAAAGATAATCTTATGAAATAAATCTTCTATCACGACAATAATCCGATAACAGCTCTTGGTGTCAGCCTATAATCAATATCAATTGATTAATATATTCATATATTCATCGAAGTATTCATGACTTCGTAATATCTGACAATTAATTCTTTGAGTTTGAAAAACTGAAAACAACAGTCGAAATGTACTTTTTAAGTAAATTGATGTTTAGTTGTTTGTGTTTTGCTCATTTATATCACACTTTGAAGACATGCATTTGAAGCAGACTTTTCTAAAAGTTGATAGAGGTATAGACTTCCAAATTTCCGGGGGGCTCCTCCTTCCTCAGGGATGACTATGTTAATGGGTGATCAGAATACTTACAACAATAATATTATGTTCGTAGCTTTGTTATAATAATATTTGTATATAGATATGTATCTACAAAGTCATGTGTATAATATAAAGTGAAAGGCTTATAATGCACAGATATAAGTGAAAGGCTTATAATGCACAGATATAAGTGAAAGGCTTATAATACACAGGCATAAGGTACAATACATTAAAGCCATGCTTAATAACATTAAAGTAAGTATGAAGATAAGTTCATTACAGTAATACGACTTTAAAAAACAAATGTGATGTAAGAATTTTTAATTAAGTATCAAGAGTGAATTAAATGGAAGGCAAAATATGAAGAAAAAATAGAATCTATATAATATAAGAAAAGTAGATAAGTTCATTCAGATATATAGGCCTATACGTTACACCCATATTTTATGACGTGATGTTTTATCAAGCTTCAATGCAGGTTTCATACAGACACTAATTTTCTTTATCTAAGTAGACTGTAGAGAATTAGTTAACCGAGCTTCAAACTTTCTGTTAGATAATATTGGCAAGTAGATTAAGCAATTTCCCACATTTACCATGGCATTAGCGATCAAGGGCCATCATCACAACTTTGATAATAGACAATGATGTGTATTTTCCTGCTTATCCCCCCGTAATCACATCATATGGCTGTTAATTGGAATGATGAGTTAATGCATGGGTCCTCCATAGTCATTAAGTTCACGGTTAATGCGTCGGAGGCCTTCGTGCCGAATTTGACGACGAAACCGGTAAATCAAGCCCGCGCCCGTGAACGGCGAGATGGTGCACCCGTGTCATGGAGACACCACCACCACGTGCATCCAATTCCCTGGCGCGCAAAATAATTGCATTTTACGATCTAGTAAATACACATTGATTGTTTTCTTACAAACCGGATTAGATCCCCCCTTAACTGCTAGGTTGGGAAAAGTGAGAAAGATGGGGAAATGAAAAAAGAAGAGGACAGAAGTCGTTTGATGGTGATGGGTGGGAAGGGATATTCAATCGCAAAATAGTTTGAAATACTAGCAGGCGATGTATGCGAAAATGCGTTTTTGGCGGTACTCAAGCGCGCGGAGGGCTAATTGGCTTTGTGCGTTTCACCGGGTTCGGGCAGAGAGAGGCACGTCCCAAAGGAGCAATGCATCTTCCATGAGATAATGTAGTGTGAGAGAGAGAGAGAGAGAGAGAGAGAGAGAGAGAGAGAGAGAGAGGGAAGGGAGAGAGGGGAGTGAAATAAAAATCACCGCCTCTCCAGATTACCAAATAGATTTTTCTTTCAGTGGCGTTGAGTTCCATAAACACTTTGAAAAATTATCGGCATTAGGCGCGCATGGCTGCCCACACGATGATGGCATTGACAATTATCATCTTCCTCGGTATCTTTTAATCGGCCTTTCTTTATCTAATGGATAAAATAGGAAACGAATTTAGGGAAAGAAAGGCCGCTTGCTAACTACATTGCCTGATTTCCAAATGGCCTGGTTATTGGCATATACATTTATGTTTCCCGTGCTAACTAATATTATACGTAATTGGGACAGCGAGTAAATGCAATCAGCATTATTTGAACCGGTGTTAATCACGGTGTTCGTCATCTACTCTCCATCATGACAAGGCGTTATCTTTAGTAGTCGTCAGGAAATGATCGGTTGAGATTTAGAAGATTAATTATTCATCTATGATATCATCTCGTACACAGTATACATTGTTACCCCTTTCGCTAATGTTCGCAAAATTGAAGTCTGAAATTTTACACGCTTGGCTGCCTTCTACGAGTGTGGTCGCATAAATCATGCATTCATAATAATTTCCTATCCCGATCACCATTTCTCTTCTACGAGTCCATTTACAAAATGAAACTTTTTTATCCAGTTTATCCTTCTTAATTTTTGTCCTCACCCGCATCCGGGTATTATCCTGATTGTCTGCCCTTCTTCCTGTCATAGAATGTGGAAATCAGAGCCTGTGAGATGATGAAAATTGGATTATTTATGAAATATTGGTCTCTGGGCATCCATAAAGACAACTGTTACGCTTCAGTCGTGTGTTTAATGGACTGTGCTTTACAAACAATACATACCCGTTGGTATTTACCCAACTACTTACCACCCACTCGTAATTGAATAAGATTTGTTAATTAGAGAAATTATTGATGCTTGACAGTTTCTCGTTCTCTTAATGACCATAACCATGGGAACTTCGAGCAACAATTTTTCAAAAATGCATTTTCTCAGTTTCAACTGCTGCAGAGCTGATTTTGTTATATAAATTGTTGTAATTCTTTTTGATTCATTGGTATTCCTTAATCCAGAGCTTCTCAATCAGTTCTCTGCGATGCTCTCTCAGGTGATCGCGAGATTGTCCCCAAAACATGTTTGAAGATAGAAGATAAAAAAAGGGCCTCGAACATTTTCAAACAGCCA